CGTTTACGAAACGCATGTCTCGTTGAGTATCATATAAAAATAAAACTTATAACGGGGATAAAGAAATATATGACTTGCTATAAAATTCGGAACAAAAATTTATCCGTTTTTTTACCAGCTTAAAATTAATCTTTATTTTAAGAAAAGTTCTTAAAGTATGTGAAATATTTCTTATTAAACTCTTTCAATCTTAATAAAGAAATTTAAAATTAACTAAAATTTAATTAATAATAAGGAGAGGGGAAAAGAAAAGATTTATAAAAAAGATTCATAAATAAAGATTTTATTTATAAAATGTAGGATAATATTTTGCAACTTTTAGATGCTTAACAATAATATATAACAAAATAATGTATCAGAAAAATTTGTCGTCATTGTATATCTATCAATTATATTTACTAAACACGCACTCATAGAAAAGATTTCCTGAGCCAACAGTACTTTTCGATTTATTATAAAATGGGACCGATATAGGGACAATCATATTTATTGTTAAATAGAGGAACGTTTTAATCTTGAATAGAAAATTCTTAATTCTAAAATAAAATAATTTGGATATTGGTTTCGTGCCAAATACTATGGTACCAGCATCATGCGTGTCATAACATAAAGATTTATTCTAAACGTAACAATATATAAACTTAAATAATACATATGTGCTACACTCTTGTCACAAGAAAATAAATCAATCTTGTTTAATTCAAGGGAGGAGAATAGGAATTATTGATTTAATCTTATATAATATTGTCTTATTTTTATACTGCATAAGATTGCGATAAGATTAAGTACGTCAAGAATATTTTTTATCTCTTTATCAAAAATTCTTTCTGAGAGGACAATTATTATGATTATCTGATAACTTTGGCAATTATCATGGTATTTATTTAAATCTTTATTAAGCCCACTTTATATAATCTATAATTCGAGATCAAATTCAAAATAAAATTCTATTTATAATTTTGTGTGTCACAATCCTAAATATAAATGTATATTCTGAGAGAGATATATATATATATATATATATATACATATATTTTGTAAATATATGAATTTACTTCAAATGTTTTCTATGTTACACAACATACAAAATTATAAATAGAATTCTGTTCCGAATTTGGAATTATACATCTGAAGTGAATTTAAATGCTGACATGATAAATCAATTTTATTGTGATGCAACGCCGCGCATGCTGTAGCCGCGCATAAGTACTTTCTAAGTTGTTATAATGAAAAGGAGAGATCGATAATACAAAGTCCACACGGAAGAACATATAGTGTGTATAGTCTCTCTCTCTCTCTCTCTCTCTCTCTCTCTCTCTCTCTCTCTCTCTCGCGATTATATACTCAAAATTACATAGCCAAAGAAACAATTCAGTATAGGTATTGTACCTCATTATGCACTCCATGTTTCACGCGTGAAATGTATTGCGACAATTACAGACTTTGAAACCCTCGGGGTACAAGAACTGACAACTACCTTTTACAGTCCGAGTATGATTTATGTACATAATTTTACATGCAACCGACGCATTCAAGAAACGAAAAATATGTCTTCCACATGGAACAGTTGTGTTGCCTCGAATTTATTTCAAAAAGTTACTAGAAAATTTCTTTTTTAAAGATCGAAAAAAGGGCAGCCAAGTTTTTGTGATTCTCACGATATTTGTTTAACAGTAATTTGATTTACCAGTCGTGATTAAAGACGATTATTTCTTTTTGTTGACTCACTCGATGAATATTTTCCTGAAATACTTATCAAGTATGTCATTTATGCTGAGCAGCAAGATAAGCTAATTCGCAATGATGACAAGCAACAATCTTTGCCGCGACGACGATTAGTCCGGTGCCGCGCTTTAATATTTAATTCCGCGTGTTGACTCACCAGCCTATCCAGGTGACTCGAATTTATGAGAGCGTTGCGTCCCTGCATTATTTATGAGGGAAAAAAATTGAGTCGAATGGGCGAACGTGGTGGCAATATTGAATCCAGGCACCCGAACTGCGGAGTAATCGCAGTAACGCGAAGGAGAAACTGACCAATTTTCTAAGTTTTCGAGATGCATAGTAAAGATTGTATACAAAATATAAACGACGCTCGACTTCGAGCTATATCTGCGTTAAGGATCGCTAGAACACGCGCAGCTATAGAAATATTTGTACGGGCGTTTTGTATTCATGGACCCTTTGTACGTTATCAGATTGCTAGATAAACGCCTAATTTGTTTGAAGCTTTGTTTATCGCGCGCTGAAATACGCGAAATCTCGAGACTGTGGTCGATAATAGTTATTATATTCGAGATACTGTGGCACTTAGTTTTTCCCTTCAAATTCAATGCCTTGTCACGAATTGTGCATTTAAACGAGATTTATTCATTCAGCGTTCAGTTTCGCTTTAAACCACAGTACGTTGCAGCTTACTGGTTACATCCGATCCTAAAGCGATTAACAGTAAAACTAAAAGTCGGCTCTTTGTGCGGCAAAATCGGCTGGAGTTTTCTTTAGAATGTAATCCTAAAAGAGACGCCAATCAATGGAATTAATCATTGAGTTTCGTGTACGGATTTATCAGTATCAGAAATTCGTTATTTAAAGTTGTCGCTTTTACACGAAAATATTTTATCTCTTAGATCTGACGGTATTTTATTCTTACGCGATATGTACCAAAACGTTAATTTTAACAATTAGATAAAAAAATCTAATAACGAATTCAGTTGTATGCACTCGGTGCGCACTGGTGCATATTAAAGCCATCGTACACAAATTGACGTAAAAATATGTTTGATATAAATATATAAAAACGAATTAAACCGTGAAATCCTCAATACATTTAATTGTACTGTTATATAAATTCTGTATCTTATAATTCGAAATATTTGTATTTTACTTTTACACAGATTAAATTAATGTACAACGGCTTTAATATTTCGGATTAGTGCATCCAACCGAATTCTCTATAATATATCGTGATATATATACAGGGTGTTTCCAAATTAAATGGCAAAACTTCGGGAGCGTGTAGAGGAGTAAAAAACTAAGAAAAAAAGTCCTATAGACATATGCTCGTTTTTGCTCCGTTTCAGAGAAATCGAAAAAAAATGTTTACATTTCTTGCCATATCTAGCACCGACATATTTGATTACATTTTCCACTTTCTGTTATGAATTTGTCAGTCGCTCTTTGAAAGCCTTTAACAGTAGATGAATTTTGTCTTTTGCAATATGCCGCGTACGTATTCTAATAGTGAATATGCTGATATGGTTTTTGTATACGGTTTCTGCAACGGTAATGCTTTAAAGGCGGTGCGAGAATATGCACGACGATTTCCAAACAGAAGAGTGCCAAACCGAAGAGTGTTTATGTTGACATTTAATAGATTGCGAGAGACTGGA